AAGGATACATTTGTTACGAAAAGATAGATAGTTCCCCATTTTGGGTTATTTGTTTCTATAATTTTATTACTGATATGCAAGATTAACTAGAGATATGTTTTTAAATATTGTTATATAATAGCTATTGTTTAGTTATAATAGTTGATCTTTAACATTTACTCCCTTTGTTCCTAGATATTTGTTGTTTTAGGTTTTTTTTTCTTGTTCCACAAAGATTGATGTTTTGTAATAGCATCATTACTATTTTTATTTGTGACCAATAGAGAAAAGGGAGAAATAAAATTAATATTTTTAAACTAATAATAAAAAAATATAAAAATATAAAAATGAATTTTTCTTAATTAGTGTGTAAAACTCAAAACATCACTCTTCTATGAACATAGGGAGTATCTATTAACAAAACTATATATGATATTTTAAATTTAATTATTTGCTATTGTGGATCTCATATCAGCATATAAAAATTTTGAAAACCTTCGAATAAGTTGTATGTCGAATAAACTTTTACTAACATTTATTAGTTATTTAGATTAAAAGTATTGTGAGGAAAATGATTTTTTATATAAACGAAATTATTGTTTTCAAATACAATATGAGTTAGGCTTTTAAAATTTTAATAATTAATTATATTTATAATTATAAATAGTTAGTCCATTTAATTTATTTGGCTTAAAACTATATATGTCAATTTGAACCTCATACTCATTATTAATTTGGTTTAGAATATCGAAATAAGTTAAAATTAATCATCTGTTTCTTATATTGAATTGGATATCGGTACTTTTCTTTAGTTTTTTTTTTATGTTATATTTGAAACGTTGATAGAAACCATTAACTTTAAGTTTTGTAGTCTTTTTTTTTTGTCAAAATTTTTAATTGCCATTAAATATTACGTTACTTTATAGTTTTTTTTTTAGTTACGTCATAATTTCAATAACCTATATATAGGTTAGGTAACTTCATATTTCAAATAACAGATACAAATCATTGTTTCTTACATTTGTTTTTCATAAAATAAGAATAATTCTTGTACATTTGAAGCGTAAGTAGATATGTCTAAATTTAGCTCTCAAATTACTATGCTATTCATCGTTGTAGCTTTGGTGTGTGTGTTTGTTCCGGTTTTCTCAGTCGAAGAAGCTGAAGCAAAATCATTATGGAATACTTGTCTTGTAAAAATCAATCCTAAGTGTGCGTTGGATATAATCGGTGTTGTCTTTGAAAATGGAACCATCTCTGATCCTTGTTGCAACGATCTCGTCAAAGAAGGGAAAGTGTGTCACGATACGCTTATTAAATATATTGCAGATAAACCCATGTTAATTGCCCACGAAACACAATACTTGAAGAAGAGTGCTGACTTGTGGAATCATTGTGTCTCAATCTCGAAAAGTGCTTGAAATATGTATTGCTTGTACTATTTTTACCGAATAAATTGATATTTCTCTGTTGTTAGATTTCTATTACCACAAACATTTATATTTTCACTTTACTACAATATTCACTAAAGGGAATTCTCTCTGAAAAAGACAAACTTAAATTTATTATTTTCTATTTGAACTTTAAGACAAACTTTTCTATTAAGAATCGAAAAATAATTTAAAATTTAAAATTTTAAAAATTAACGAGTAGCTCTAAATATTATTGAATAAATTTTAATTTTGGTATTTGTT